GCCTCAGCCTTCCAAGTAGCCGGAATTACAGGCATGCGCTACCACACCCGGCTGATTTTCCTTCTTCATTTTTGCCTCTGTAGTTTTAAAATCATCATCATAATGATCATTTATTGATCCCCTGCTGGATACCAGGCACCGGGCTAGACACTCTGTATTTAGAAGCACTTTATGCATCTCACCAATCCCAAAGGGGTGGATCTTCTTTCCATTTTACAGATGAGGGAACTGAGGCTCAGAGAGGAAAGGTGATCTTCCCAGGGTCACACAGCGGGAGGATGACAGAGCTGGGGTCTGATAACTGCCATTGACTGGGTAGCATGCTCTAGGCACAGCCTTCTATTGCACTACCCCATTCTGTTCTCATGGTGACCCCATGTGGGCTGTCCTATTACTGTTCCCACTACCTAGCACATGGACATTATGCCAAGAGTCCAGCACATGCTTAAGGCCACACAGAGAGCAGATATGCTGGATTATAAACGAAGGTTGGCCTGACTCAGATAATAACAGTCTACACCTATACAGGTCTCTCTGTGTGCTAAGCTCCCTTTTAAGCCCTTAACAAATATTATCTCATCTAATTCCCACAACCTCTATGGCGTAGGTACTATTACTATCATCCCCACTTTTCAGATGAGGAAAATTGAGGCTCAGGGGGTCTAGCAATTTGTCCAAGGTGGCACAGCCCATCAGAGGCAGAGATGGGATTCGAACCCAGGCCATCCGGCCCCAGAACCCAGGCTTTCGGCTCTTCCTACCCTCCCTGTTTTTTCCCCTCACAGGATGGGAAGATTGTGGATGACTTCTGGGTGGTGAGACCCCTGTTTGGCCGGAGGATGTACCTCTAGGGTTGGGGACAACTCTTATCAAGAACTCTAGGCCTTGCGGCCTTTGCTGATGTGACCAGATACTGCCCAGGCCTGGGCGGGAGTCAAGCGGGCCTGGACTCCCCCGCCCTCGAGAGGCCCCATGCTGGGCGGATGCAGCCTTGCTGGAGCTGGGCCAGCTCTCCCCTCCTGGAGAGGTGGGAGCCTTGGCTGGTTGTGAAGGGAGGCCAGGTGTACAGGCACAAGATGACATTGGGCGGGTCTGCTGGCACAGCCCCGCCCTGCTGCATAGCACTGACCAGGCGGGGCGCCCGCAGGGCCTCGGGAATAAAGAGGGTCACAGCCATGGCCCAGTGGACTCTGCCCTTCTGCTGGGGCGCCCGGGGCCACCACCTCTCTCGCCTACCCGTGGAGGGACCTCCCCAGCCTCAAGCCAGCGAGGTGGGCACGACCGTCATGATGCCATGCACCAGCAGGTGGCGGCGAGGGCTTCGTCTTCTGGCCCTCAGAGTCTGTCTGAAGCACGGCTCTTGAGTGCTACCCAAACATCCCTTTGTGCCTCAGTTTCCCAGCCTGGCACTGTCTTATCTGGGAATAGAGGAAGCGTCAGCCTCGAGAGCTCCCAGACTTGCCAGGTTCTGGCCTCTTTCCTTCCTCTCTTTCTTCCTCTCCTTCCCTTCTTCCTTTATTTATTGAACCATTATTTATTGAGCATCTGCTAGGTTCTCAGCCCTGGGGAGACAGCTGTGAACCAGACAGAGATCTCTGCCCTCACAGAGCTGATGTTCTCACCAGGGAGTCAGACAGTAAGCATGACAAATAAGTGGGTTAACTAGCAATAAGTGCTCAGAAAAGGCAGGGGCAGAGGGAGTAATTGCAACCCTCACCAAGATGTGGAGACCTCATTGGGACTTCACTGAGAGGATGACATCTGATCTAAAGGAGGTGAGGAAGGAACCAGGTGGGCAAATGTCTGGGGGAAGAGCATCCCAGGCAGAGGAACAGCCAGTGCAAAGGCGCTGAGGCAAATGTGCCTACCTGTCAGAGTATCCGCAAGGAGGCCGATGTGGCTGGATCAGAGACAGTAAGAGAGAGGTAGGGATCGAAGACAGGGAGGTGATGGGGACAGATTGTGCGGGTCCTTGTGGGCCATGGTGAGACTTCAGATGGCGCCACGGAAGGGCTCCGAGCTGGTGAGGGATGTGGTCTGACTCCAGGAGTCTCACAGACAAAGGCTGGGCTCCAGGCCCAGGACTGAGGGCTGCCCCTGGGAAGCCTGTGGGTTCCCAGCCGTGCAGGGCGACCACTTGTCGATTGCTTAGTCCTGCTATGCAGTCTCTGCCTCCGACTCCTCACTCGGCCCCAGGCACACCGGTTTGCCTTGCAGGTTCTGGAACACACTGGGCTCTCTCACATGGTGGGGTCTGGACACTGACTGTGGCCTCCCCAGCTCATCCATGTCTGGCACCGTCTCAGCCTCAGTGTCCCCTCCTCGGAAGCCTTCCTTGCTGGCCCCAGAGAGCCGCCCTCACTCCCTGTCTGCCTTCCTGCTACAGTTCCCTCCTTGATTTGTTAACTTGTTCATTGTCTGTCTAGGCTAGGAGGTCTGTGAGGGGGGTGGTGACCATCGTGCTCATTCACAAATCCATTGCTTCTGCCTAACCCTCCTAGTCCCCTTTTCCCACCGAGTTGGGGCCCTGGGCTCCCCCCAATCCCAGTCATGCCCATCCTAGGCCACCACTATCTGCGGTTGGATCTCTCTGATTCCCCCACTGGCCTGCTACCCTTGGGAGGGTAGGGCCCAGGGCTATACCCAGCACTGCCCAGCACAAGACAGATGCTTAATAAATACTTGTTGCCTTAATGAAGGCCACCACATGCCACGCTCTGGCTGGGCAATGCCAGGGACGGCAATGAATCAGCCCCTGTCATCCCTCTGGGAGCTTGCGGGCAGGCGGGGACACACGGTTACCCAACAACAGTGACCAGCAATGAGGGAATGCCATGGAGGGCGGGACTGAGACCGTGAGGTCACACGCCAGAGAGCCACAGGCTAAGCTGGTGCCTCGTGTGAATCTGGCACATTCTGACCCAGGCAGGTGAGGTTGTGGACATGTCAAGAGATGGGGTCCACAGAGGACAAAGTTCTGGCACTGGAACCAGGCAGAAACTAGGTTTCTGCTACTTCCTGTGTGACCATGGGCAAGTTGCCAGCCCCCTCTGAACCTCCGATTTTTCATCTGTAACATAAGAATGATGATAATCCTTTGTGGGTTGCCTTGGGATTAAATGAGAATAAAAGCTTTGGTATCATCCTGGTCTCTTCTTTTTCTCATGCTCTGCCTCCAGTTACAAAGGAGATTCTGTTAGCCTTTAAAATCGATCTAGAAACCAGGCATGATGGCTCACGCCTATAATTCTAGCACTTTGAGAGGCCAAGGTCAGAGGATTGCCTGAGCTCATGGGTTCGAGCCCAGCCTGGGCAACTTGGCGAGACCTCATCTCTACAATAAATTAAAAAATTAGCCAGGCACAGTGGCGTGTGCCTGTAATTCCAGCTACTTGGAAGGCTGAGGCAGAAGGATCCCCTGAGCCCAGCAGTTCGAGGCTGCAGTGGCCGTGAGCAGTGTACCACTGCACTACAACCTGGGCTCCAGAGACTGACTCAGAAAAAAAAATCGATCTAGATAAAGAAAATGTGGTACATATACACGATGGAGTACTACTGTGCAGGCATAAAGAAGGACAAAATTATGGACTTCACAGCAACTTGGATGGATTTAGAGTCCATCATACTCAGTGATCTATCACAGAAACAAAGAACTGAGTACCACAAGTTCTCACTCATAAATGGACCCTGAGCGTTTATCACAATACTATAAGAAAGGAACTGTCAACCGGGCTCGGTGGCTCAGCCTGTAATCCCGCGCCTTTGGGAGGCTGAGGTGAGTGG